CAAAATTACACAAAAATATCTTGAAATTAAATTTATTCAATAAAATCACCATTGGCTTCAGCCATGGCCTCCAGACAATTTTGGAATCTCTCGCAATTATTCTGGACAGTCACTGTGTTTAATTTTGTGAATGCGGCCATAATCTTTGCCTACAGTTCATCTTTGGTATTACAAGGAGTTTTGTTGGTCTCTCAATTAACTGCACCCCATACATAATAATCAAAGAAGTTTCAATCTGGGAAGTGATGTGGCCAGATGCAAGGGGTGATGTGGTTGCAGAAATTGTCTGACAGTAATGACTCTTGCTTGTGTGGCATGGTGCTTAGTCCTGTTGCCAGACATAGGGCCTTCTAGCAGACACCTTTTTGAGCCAGAACAGCCCTACCTCATCAAGGCACTGAATATAGACCTTTGAGTTTGAAGCCCTCACCAACAAATTTGGGAGTTCTTTTCTTATCAGAATGATCAGAGTGAGCTTGCCGAGCTGCTGTACCTTCGTAATCACCATTAGATTCATCCAACTCTTTCCAAATCCTCTGCACTGTCCTTAGAATGACAGCCAAACACTGAAATGTTTGTATTGGAGTTTCCGGCAGTACAGCATGCCAAATTTCTGGTAGAGTGAATTGCGTCATGATGCCCAACTGACCCTACTATATTGTGCAGGCAACAAAATCAAAAATAAACAAGGCACATGCACAAAAAAAATTAAAAAAAAAAAACAAAAAAATTTAAAAATATAAAATGTTGACAATTTACCCATTGCACCATATTTATGGCATATCAACCTCAATTGGATATTTAATGTCGACAGTTTTTATTGCTGGTAATAATTTTCTTCAAAAAACTATTTCTAGCAATATCCTTCCTTTTAAAATCGATTGCAAGTAATATTTCCCAAGAATGTATCGCTGTTAACGTTTTTCCAGGAATGTATTGCTCTTAATAGTCTTATTTTTCTTTATTTTTTTTAACCGATTGTGGTTTGATCATGTCTGAAATAACCCTGTGCAACATGATGGGAGACACTTTTGATATATCACCCTCTACTGATTCTACAACAATGAAAGTTGGAAATTGATATTTTTCTATTTCATTTTCAGAAGTTTTATATTGTCTCTTGGTTTGCTTATAAAAGATAGCCATATAATTTTAATTTTTGTATTTGCTGTCTGTGCTCCCCACCCACCTTGGAGTTCCTTCTTAAGGGATGCTATCAGTGGTGACGAATCCTATTCACCCAGGGCTACACAGACAGCATAGTTGTGATGAAAGTGGATATGAGCACCCGCACACGCACTCCCCCACCATATCTACCCAAGTATAGTATGATGTAAGGTTTCACAGCCCTGTCAGATCCATTATCTATCATCCCAACTGGCCCTTGCCACTATGTGACTAGCCGATTTGAATGGATTAGGCTATTCCATCTGCCCGTCTATCCCAGGTAGGGACCAAAGTGACATGTGGAAACTCCTGGTCATTTTATACCAGATCAGGAGTCACTCAGTTAACCAGGACTCCGTCCCCCAGGCATTACAAGCCACCACCCACGGCAAACGGGTGGGCCCCATTTAGGGGAATTTTTAGTTTTTTTGAAATCAGGTTTTGTTAATGTGCACTTTATATACTGCAATTTGATGGTATTATTATTACAAAAAACCCATACACATTCCTAGCATTCTGACTCCAGTTCAAGGGAGGGGGGGGAACTATTTTCCCATAGCTGGGACCCTAATGGGTGCTACAACCCAGGTCTGGGTGGACCCAGGAACAGCAACAACTAAGAGGCGGTTACATGCTCCTCAAAACCTACTGATCAGAGGCCTTGTTGCTGGATGCAGTTTATTGTCATACTCAGGGATTGACCTTTGCACATATATATATATATATATATATATATATATATATATATATATATATATATATACACACACACACACACACATCTCTATTTTTATATTTTCTTCTGAATCTAGGGATCATTATTTTCCATTCTAGTTACATGTTATCCATTTTTGTTGTTGGAAGTTTTCAAGTGATGTAGCTTTGGTTAAGTCCTTTGTGCTTTTCTAGTGCCATTCTATAGAGTCTGATGAAGAATTGTCTTTTTTAAGACCTAAATGATTCATTCATTTAATGCCATTTTTAATCATTCATCTGAGAAAACAGTTGTATACAGATGATAATTTAGACATTTCTGAATAAGTTGTGTGTGTGTGAGAGAGAGAGAGAGAGAGCATGCAATCATTGGAAAGGGTTATTTTAGACAAAATAAAAATACCAGAATTTCTTTCTTATATATAATAAAAAAAATTTATTTTTGCTATTTGACTTTCATTGGTTAATCTATATCTCATTCTCTGATGAGGCTTTAATAAAAGTGAAACATGTTAGACAGATAAACGTTTCCTGCTTGTGAAACAGGGCCCAGTAGATAAAGACATTGGTTAGATTCAGTGACCAGACCCAAAGAGTTGCGAATTCAATACCAGGCCACAGCAGTAGTAAACCAAACTTGGAGGCTCGAGTTAAAGTGAAATAACTGACATCCAGAAGAGGCATAGCATGTGGAACTAGAACAATCTACCCCAGTGGATGAAATAAAGGGTTTGGTTTAAAATTCCAATCACCTGAAGAAGCCCAGAGTGTACAACAGGGCGAAACATTGTCAATATGGCAATGAAGATGAGGATAACAGTCCAAATGATGTAAATAATGTAAGTGAAACATGTCAAATTGATAAATCTTTCTTATTTGTTCTTAATATAAAACGCTCACACACTAATATTCCATGGTTATAATTTATTACATTGCAATCGTAATCACAATCCAATTCATAGACCTACAAATCAAAAAAAAATTGGAGTTATATTTTCAATTTCTTTTTGAATTTGTAGGTCTGACGAATTGGATCGTGATTACGATTCCAAAGTAATAAATTATAACCATGGAATATTAGTGTTTGAGCCTTTTATATTATATTCTTACTCTGTCCTGGACAGAGAGTTCTACCTGGATTCTATCCTCTTGGGAATATTTGTTCAAATTGTTGACCACACTAGATAACACACTCTCTACCAGAAAATGTAACTAAGGTCTACTCAGCATAGTTGCAGTATAAACCACAGGTGGGCTCTGTGGGTGTTGAACAAACACAAATGTGCCTGAGCAAGCATCTGCAATAGGGATTGGCTAGCCACCCTAGTAGATGGGTATCCTCAAATAAGAGTGGCCAGCTATTATCATCATCATTATATAAATAAAGAGAGGGGGGGGCAGCATTAATTTATAAGCCCAAAATACAATATGTACTTACACATTGTGTTAAAATACAATTTATAATGTATCAATTTATATGGATTTGTCAGATTTTGCAACCATGTCCAGGCACTGAAAAGTTAAGAATCTATTGAGACTAATGGAAAGCACCATTTTTTTAGGGGGGGGGGGGGGTAGGTCAACATTTATACAAATTACCAGTTTCATAATCAACAGAATGTGCAAATATAAACAGACAAAAACTCTTCATCCTATAATCATGTAGGAGGAGGAAATTGGCATTTAATTCTATAGCCATCTGCATCTTATTGTTTAAAATAACCCACTTATCAGGATTTGTTGAGATGTGTGGAATTTTTAAAGTATGGAATAAGAAATTTCACGGTGAAAAATCCTAGCAATTAAGATATTGAATGAAACTGAAATGTTCGGACCAAATTATTTTCAATCACTGCAGTCAAATGGGAAAGCAAACATTTGATTTCACATTCAAATAAATGTTTCCCCCTTCCAAAGTTTGAAAGTGTTTTCAACTTCTTTGTTTCCAAATATTCTGTCACTTATGAAATGTTCTAGTGACCAAAACAAATCTGTCGGTGCCAAATATAATTAGTATGGAAAATGTGGGAAGAACCTACCATCTTAACAATGTTTTCCAGAGTCTAGCCTTGCATTTTCATGCTGCAGTAGGTCACCTTGTCTCTCTACCAAATCAGGATACTTTCAACATAATGATTCATTTATCAAATTGGGTTACTGGCAATAAAGACAGCAGTAATGATTGTTCCTTGTCCCAAGTGCATGTGATAAATGATACCTTTCATGTTTCACACACGAAGCAAAGACTTATATAAATGGAGTCCTGGTCTTGGTTTTGTCACCAGTTTCTCATTTTGTGAAAACCACTATCTTTTTCATTTTCTGTCGACATGCAAAACCCATTTTTCATCACCTGCAACACAATGCAAAAAATGAAAGTTTGGCGTTCCTGGTTAAAAGACTGTTCCAAATGGTGGAACATTGGTTTTCAAGAGAAAGCTCATGAGGAACCCAAATTCACTCTTAGCAAGTTTTCCCTATTAAACTCTGAAATGCATCTATAAACAATACATTGAAGGATAAAAGAGATGATAAACTAATTTCAGAGGCACTTCCCACTATTCAACCATTCTTCTGCCATGGTTGGTTGGTTCATAAGTCATAGCACTAGCAGTCTAATATGTAATTACTTTCCAAATACCCTAATATAAGGTGTAAAGATTTTATATATGTGCATGGCTGTGTGGCTAGACTGTTTGCTTTCCAACCAGGAGACCTGTGTTCGAATCTCACCATAGTTCATTTGTCAGAAAGGTGACTTCTTGATGTTATCCCAGTATGCAACCCCTTTGAAAAGTACCTGAAAATAATAACACAGATTAACCAAAATACTTGAAAGTGAAATTTGGTAGATGAAACTGTTTGGAAGCCATTAATGGTTGCACTAGCACAAAGTCACAAGTCATTGTGACCGAGGGTTTGAATGTACTGCCATTGTTCAAACTACTGATCATTCCAGAAACTAACTAAAGCATGTTCAGCATGTTTGCAATATAAACCATGTGCACTCTGTGGGTGTTAAACATATGTGTCTGATTAGCCAGTGTTCATGGAAAACAATAGTAGCCATATGAAAGTGAGAATTTGGATTCTGGATTTTCATTCATTATCAACAACAATGTTATTCCCAAGTGGTCATCCACCTAGGTACTGACCAGACTTGATGTTGCTTAACTTCAATGATTATATGGGAACCGGTGTTTCAACGTGATATGGCTGCATGTCTCCTTCGTTATTAGAAAAGCATAAAATAACATTAAAATAAAACAATTATGAAGAGAAAGCTATTCTGGGGGAGGGTGTAAATATGTTGGCAGTATAGGTCGCCTAATAGTTAAGGGTTTGGAAAATGAAATTGGCAGTGAACACTATCAAATATTAATAATAAAAGTGGCTTGAAATTCTGAAATTAACAAGTTTTTAATAACACTTTACGTGAAATTTTTCCATTATAAAAATTGTGACTGAGATACTCGTTAAAAATTAGAAAATTGAAAATTCATACAAAAACTTTAACCAAAATAGTGAAAATGAGACATGCAACAAAAAGTGGAATTGAAGTGTGTAAAATCAAAAGTTGTAAGATTTAGAGAGAAGCCATTTTATCTGTAAGCAGCTTTGGTGAACAAGATCAAATAGGCATTGCTACAAGTTCCCATGGTACATAAGAGCTCAAGTTTCTGTCTAAAGACACTTTCTAATTTCTTGTTATTTAATTTGAATGCAAAATAAGAGCTAAAAGTGATAATGAAAAAAAAAAAAAAAAAAAAAAAAAGGAGGGGGCTAGGAGTGAATTTAAAAAGTGGAATCATTAATATTTCATATATAACCTCTTTTTAATCTCTCTACCAGCCATGAAACTGAAAACAAAAAAAAACTTTTCTTTGTAAGACAATCCACAGCAAAAGACATGAAATATTTGATATAAAATAATTTTTTAATTTAAAAATCACTAACAGATTTAGAGAATTCCATTTAAAGCTTCAGTAGGATGGGTAAAAAGTCAATCAGCTGTCACAATATATATATATATATGTTAAAAAAAAACAAAAACAAAACAAAAAAAAAAACAAAACAAAAAAAACAGAAAAAAAAACAAAAAAAAACAAGAGTTGAAACAAAGTCTTAACATTTACAGTAACAAAAAATAACATCAGATTAAAAAAAATCTATTAATTGCTAAAAACTAACTTTGTTTATATCTTGAGTAAAAAGAAAGAAGTTAGCAGATATAGACTTTGAAACACCCCAATGAGGTATATATGTCTTTTCCTAACCATTAGCACTTTGCATTATTAATATTACTTCTTTTCTACTTCATTCTTTTTCAAGGCCTCTCAATTGCAGTATTCTTAGTGTTAATTTCACTCAAAGTTGTTTTCTGTTGCCAGAGCAGGATATGACAACACAATTATGAAATTCAAACACTATTGTTCAGTGATTAGAGTCACTTCCAGTGACAGGATAAACATTTTGTAAAGCAAATGAAGTCACATATAGCGTGATAAAGGTTAAATTGGGTAATTGATTGTTGATTTGCTGTAATGGCTTCTCATAGTTAAGTGGTAAAGCATGCCTGGCTTGAAGGTGGTTTTTCAGGTTAATGGGAATACAGGTTCAATTCTTGTCAAGAATTTTTTTTTAAATAAGAAAAGACAGTAGATGTTCATTCCAATGTAACTTTTATAGCAATAAGAAATAATGCCAAATTAATAGACAATAGACATTGAGGGCAACACCCAATGTTGACTGTCTTTCATGATGTTTAAGCATTAAACAGACTGTCAATGCTGGATGTTGACCTCAACATCCACTTATATAGCTGTCATATTGGTATGAGCACTTTAACACATAAATATAGCATACATTAAAAACTACGTAACTCTAGACCACTTCCAAGCAAAGGAGGAATTACTAAATAAATCCTTTCTGAAGGTTACTCCAAGAATTGGAATCTAAGAAATTTAACAAAAGATTTCAGGTAGAAGATTAAAGTTAAAATTAATTAAATTTTAAAGTTCAATTTTGTCAAAGCAACAAAAAAAGTAATTTCACCCTTTATAAGGACCTAAATTTCTATTTTCATTAAAAACTAAATTTCACAAAAAAAAAAAAAAAAAAATTAAAAAGTAAAAACAAGATAGTCATTGAGTGTGCAAGTTACAGAGAGTAAAATCTCTGTGATAATTATAGCAAGTGATAAGAGGACTGAGTTCAAAAAGCAAAGTGAATTTACAATACATTATAACAAAAACAATTTGTAACTCCTCACAACCATACATATTGAGTTTTATTTATTAAAAAACTGTGACACATTGTACGAGGATTTTTGATAACATAAATGACAAGGAAAATATTCTAATTTTTCTAAAGCAAGGAAGTGTGAGCCCAAGAAAGGTGCCATGTCAGCATAAACTCATAAATTTAAGCAAAAAGACAATTGACATAAAATATGATTTATTTTGAGAACTAATTGTACAAAATAAAAGCTGTGATCTGACAATAAAACCTCTGTATGTATGTGTTATTTATTAATTTAAATGTCAGTGTTTTTGTTGTGTGCGGAGGGGGGCGGCAACATTATCTGTTCTATATAGTCCAACAGAATGTGGAAATACAGTGTGGCAGAAATACCTCCCACGTAATGGTAACACATTAGTGGCAATGGTATCTTCATTTAGCTAATGTTGTATCATAATGTGGGTGATATTTCTGCCATGCCCTGTATAAACAGACAATTTTTCAACCTATAACCATGAGGAGGAGGAGGAAAGCGGCAGTTAATTCTATAGCCATCTGCATCTTATTGTTTAAGCCCTTAAAATAATCCATTTTTCAGGATTTGTTGTCTTGTGTGATTTTGAAAATACAGAGTAAGAAATTTCATGGTGAAAAATTACAGCAATTTAGTCATTGAATTCCATTGAAACTTTCAGACGAAACTATGGAGACAAGAAATTGAGTTTATCTTTGCATATTTGAGGTTTGGAAAGGAATTACATTTAATGAGAAAAGTTAAATTTATTTAAATATTATCAAATATGTAATTGCTTTACTTTTGAATGACCGCAGCCCAATGGGAAAGCAAATCTTTGATTTCATATTCAAAGAAATCTGCCCACCCCACTCTATTTCCAAAATCTTTGAAAGACAGTTTCCAGATGTTCTGTCACTTGTGGAATGTTTTCGTGATCAAGACAAATGAAAATCTGTAGATATTAAATCCGGGGAGTATGAAGGACATGATTTATTATATGGTTTCACTTTTTTTTCTTTCTTCTTTCTTCACTCAGTTGATTTATCAGTGTGATTGGTTTTCAGAGCTTGTATCTTTGAGAGGAATTTATAGTGATTATATATATATATATATATATATATATATATATATACTACACACACATGTGTGTGTGTGTGTGTGTGTAGTAATTGAGGGGCAGTGTGCAAATTGACAATGCCCTACCCAGTGTCATGTTAGCTTGGTCCCAGTGACGCATACTGATATGGCTATCAAAGAGGGTTCATATATATAATACACCACACACATTTTCAAGAATGCTTTATTCATTTTTAGAAATTCAATTTAAACTTTAAAAATGATAATTAAAGAGGGGGAAGACTTGTAATAATTCATTAGTCATGAAAAGAGTTTTTTTTTTTTTATTTCTTATTCACATTATATCCTTCATTTATATTATTTATGATAACAATTAAAAGCTTATACAATTAAATAATTAGATAGTTTTAATGCAGTTTTTATGTTACAATTCAGAGTATATCTTGTGGAATTTGGTAATAGCTTGAGAAAACAACAAAAAATATCTGGTGATACATTGCTCTTAGTAGGACAAGAAATAAGCAGACTAAACTTATAGATTGAATCTAAAGACTGTTAAGGATTACTCAGAACTTCCAAAGTATACACAAAAAATATTGTGCTTTGGGATCTTTTGCAGTAAACATAATTTTGGTTGTAAATATGTAACATTTATGAGGATAAAATACGGATCTCTTTTCTTAGGTGTTTATAAATTGTACACTCTTCAATTAACGTTAACAATGAACCATTTTAAATTACAAAATTGTACTTGGATTAAACAAAAATTACTTACAACACACATATATTACTTATAATACATTCCTTCTTGCCATCAATTTTGACGGAATGGGTATGCTAGTAAGAAAATAGTTACCAATGTCTTTATAGTTTGTTTTTTTTTTCTTAATAAAGTTGATTACTATTTTTGAAGTTTCAAGGTAGCTTTTTTTTTGGTATACACTGGATAAATAGCTGTACTAATTCTATGCAAAATTCTCCTGCATCTTGCCAAAGGTCTGTTATTGCAACATTTTCACCTGGTGTTTTTCTAGATTTCACATTCATCAGTTGTTATTTGAGGAACACACAACAGACAGATTACCCATCACCATTTCAACCAGCTTTATAATATTCCATTCTGCAGCAGTAACTTTTGAGAAAGGATAAAATAACTTATGGAACATGGTAGTCAAGTCCAATGGAACATACGCTATGCTTTGGTTAAAGAATGTATTGAGAAATCTCAATCTATACAATGAGGTTTAAAATAATTGTGTTGGTGAGGTAAGTAAAAAAAAAAAAAACAAAGAAACAAAAAAACTAAAAAAATTGGTAAACTAAAGACTGTAATTTTGTAAACCATTTATCCGAGATAGAGGTCTTAACTGCTAACAACGTGGATAATTTTTTTTTGTCTGAGATTTTCTGGTAAGTAGGCTTTATTTTTCTCTTGTAGGGTGGATTGGAGAGGGAGTTCTCCTTCATTTCTTTCAAGGGTGTTAGGAAAAAAACGAAACAACAACTGTTTGTTTTACAAGAATTATTACAACAATGTATACTTCCTTAATAAATTATTCTCTTCATAATCAATACTGGGAAAAGAAGGTCAAGGTAAAAACATTTGAAATCAAAACATAAAAAGTTTTACCCAATTTTTCTGTAGGGAAATAGGATCTACAATTTGGCCAGAAAGCATCTCATAATAAATAATATATATATATATATATATATATATATATATATATATGTATGTACATACGTGTGTGCGCACACGTGTGTTAAGACAAAAAGAAAAATTCTTTACTAATGCATTTGTCCTTTGATGGAGTTTATCAAGGTAAATGTAAGAATGTTATTTTGCAACATGTATTTATAAACAGAAGTAAAAAAAATATTGTTAGCGTTC